CATCCACATAGTTAACAGTTACTTCACATATTACCTGTCCCTGACATGCCAGTCTCCACAGCATAAATCACTTCTTTGGCCAACTAGCTGAGAACTCTCAATTAATTCATCTGCATAACACAAATGTTAGATTTTGGAACTTTTATTTTCATATTTTGTATATAGATGGTTGCCAGAAAAACTCACAAAAACTTTTTTTAGATAAAAAAAACAACACTACTTGAAAAAAACCTTTTGATTTACACATTCAAGGAAAATTTTGTAATTCAGTAACTTAATTAAATGAATCAAGTTGAGCCTTCCTGAGGACACTTTTACAAAGTCCTTCCCTTCAGTGTCTGAGGGAAGTCTCACCAGTACCATCATGCAAGAAACAGTGTTCTATTTTCCTTAGCTGGAACTTTACCACAAATTTCAAAATCAAGAAATGATTGGTTGGGCCATTTGAATCTTCCCATACAAACCCCATTTGTGCCATGGGCTGGTGACAGTGGTAGTGCTGCAGCAGCTTAAAACATGAAATTCAGCAGAACCCCGTGGACATTAGGACAACATTTCCTTTTAACCACTTTTTTTTTTTAAATACTTGGCATTTTTCTGTAATTTAAATAGATTGTTGACATTGTAGTAACATTACCTTAGAGACTGTTTGGAAATAAATCTGAAAATTAAATCAAGATCATCAGATCAAGACGAGAAAGAGAACAAACCTTTTTCTGTAGCTGCAACCTGAAACTAAGTTAATAACATTTAAATTCAAGAGCTACGTTCTTAGATAATGGGAGGTTGAGCCCAACCTCCTCCTCCTTTCAGATTTTACCTCTGGATGTGAACACAGAGCAGGCCAGTCCTGAAATGCCTCCTCCTGCAGGAAAACCTTGATCCTCCTTCCATCCAAGTCCACTTGGAACAGGATCTTGGGAAGGAAAACCCCGAGAACAGGAGTCACCTCTACAATACTCCCTTTTTCCTTCTCCTTTTTTATACCATTTCCAAACAGAATCTGGGCAGCCCCTCTCTGCCTGTGTTACACCATGACCCCACCACAGCCTCCTAGATCAGCCACTCTGGTTTTACAGGCTGGTTTTGAGCAAAGCAGAAACATTCACAAAAGGGATAAAGCAAATAAATTCCTCCCACAATAAGGGGCAAGATGATAAAATGTAAAAACATTGAACACCAAGGCACATCCTACCTCTGAAAAGGACACCAAAGTCAATGTTCCAAGTGGATTCAAACAGCACAGTTTAGGGTGGGACACTGCTAAAATTTACTTTCCTCAGCAGCAGTTCATCAGTTCTGGCTCCTGATGACTTTCCAGGGCTGTGGGAGCTGAAAACCAACATCTCATACTCTAACATCCTGATGATGAGCACAAACACAGGATCTTCCAGCACCCACAAAAATCCTGTCTACTACATTTCATCTTTCATTCTGAATAGAAGGACAAAAAAAATCCACAGTTTGGATCCCATCCACAGTATCTGCCAAACCTTGAACCAGCTAAAAGCTTCCAAGCCCTAGCATTAAATACTGTAAATAACATATTTAACCACAGAATACTTCAGATTGTAGGGGACCTCTGAGGTCATATGGTTCAATTTCCCACTCAAAACACAGCCAATTAAATGTTGATGAGGTTAATATGCTCCATCTCTCTTATATTGTATTGTATATATATTCCTATATTTCTGGCAAGAAAATCAGAAAAATCTCCTTCTACAGGAGAAAGAAACAAATGGGTTGGCTACCACAATACTAAGTAAGAAAACCTTAAAAAGCAGGCACATTAGTGGGGAAAAAACTCCTAACAACCCAGTGACTGCTGATGCAAGACAAGCCTCTGACTATTTAAACAGCTAATCCCCCCACCCTGTGCAGATGAAGTCAATTGTGGAAATTTACTTAAGAAAAGACCTCAATGAAGTATCTAAGCATTGAATAATGTAAAAAGTGCAGTTTAAAGTTACACAGAAGCATTGTCACAGGCTGTTCAACACAGCAGCATCCCCAGCAGCCCTCTAGCTCCTGAATATTCACTGGGAACTCCTAGAGCTTGTTTCTTCATGAATATTGGAAATTTTCATACATAAAAATTGCTTCCCATCAGTTTTTAACTGTGTTGATCTTTCAGGTCAGGGTACACAGGGGAGAGGCCAGGCTGAAAGCCCAAAGAGCAGCTCAGTCTGGCATTCCTCTTGCCAACCTGACACTCCAGCACTGGGGCACACACACAGAAAATGCCTCACAAAGTCTCTGCTAAATGAACTCCTGAGTCAAGACAGAGTGATAAGTCCTCACTTTTCCTTATTCCATGGTATACTCAGTGTGCCCTAAAATCCTTTTCCCTTTTTCATTTCATTCTTTAGAAAGGAAGAACTCTGTCAAGTGAATTAAGAGAGGTGAAAAAAACCCAGACTAGTAATAAATAAGTCTCTACTTTTAAAGGTATATCATTTACACTTTCCATACAATTGCATTTATTTACAAACCTTAACTACAAAGTGAAAAACAATCCAGCTGATATTTTTGCCAAGTTTGACACCCGACACATGGGCTGTTGTAAGCCACAGCTATCCACAGCAACTGGCCCTTTGTTCCTATGCTTATTTAAACACAATGAAATGGGTTTACCTCATTAAAGAGGGGCTGGAATAAGCTCCAGCTGCACAAGAGTGAGGTGGTCCTCATTTTTAAAAACCAGCAATGCCATTTGGGAAAAAAAAGAGTAACAAGCAGTGAAGAAAAATAATTCCCTCCAAGCAATTGAAATACCAGTTTTGAAGATAAAATAGCGCAAAACCCGAGGCCAGTAAAACGAAACATTGTTTTCCTTTGAAGTTCACCACCAACTGGGGCAAGTGGCATGTTGCATTCCCCAGGCTTATGGGAAATTTGTTTTCTGTCCTGTCAGGAAAAAAATACCACGGTCCCTCTGGAGCCTGTAATTCCTGATGCATGTAAATTACACTTTATCAAAACACTCCACGAACGAAAGCCAAAGCCGAGCAGCCCACCTGAGCAATGTCAAATAACTGCTCCTGTCACAGGAGGGGACACTCTGGACCACAGCTGTGCATTTCCCATCTCAAAACCGAGATTCCCTCTCTCACACGGGCATGTGCCATCGTGTCCTCCCAACCAAGCCGGCCGAGGACACGGATTTTCGGGTTTTATAGCCAGCCCAATGGCAGTGCACTGCCCCAGGATGGTGTTCCCAGGGCAGCCCTGGCCAGCTCCTCATTCAGCAGGAGCAACATGAGGCCTCTGGAGCCGAGGAAGGGAAGGTGTGTAAGTGAAATCCCTCCTTATACCAGCGAGTTCAGGGATCAAATAACACCAAGACACTGCAAAGACTGCCACTCCTGCAGAAAAAAAGTCCTATTAAAAAATCTAGCCCGATATACCATCAGCTCTGCTCCCAGTAAGGGATTCTAAGGTACGGGGTTAAGCAATTACTGGGAAAATGTAGGGCAGGAAAGTACAAACTCAAGGAGAAAAAAGCAAAATTTCCACCCAATTCTTTTGAAGATACAGTCCCTTCGTGCATATGCTCGTTGTAAAGAAATCAGCTTGGGCTCAGAGACTGAATGCCCCAGGGCACTCTGCAACCTCCTCACTCCCAGGGAGGACAGCAAGGCAGGGCTGACCCAGGAATGAGTATCAGAACTTACAGGGAGTCCTGTTCCTGCTGCTGGGTGGTGGGATACAAGATTATTCTCTCAATAAAAGAAACTAACTGTATAAGCATAATATTTGGTTTCATATCAGAAGCTTTTCTTGTCAGCATTTTTCCCCTCACAGTTCACTGAGCACTGATGTTGTGCCATGCACGGAAACCATTCAAAACATTAAACTTAATATTCCTTCATAGATCAATAGGAATGGAGTAAATTCATATCAGCTGTTTCCTGAAGAAAACATTTCACAGATATCTTTAGCAACAGCCCATCAGGGAGTTTAACAGAGCAAAGCAAAAGGCAGGTGCTTAATTTCAAATATGCTTCAGTCAATTTTCTCATAGTACTTGCATTTTCATTGTAGAAAATCTCAATATTCAACAGTGGCAATTACTGTATATTTGAATAATCTCACTAAGTTCCAAAGTATTATATAAGGGAAACATTAAAAATCAGCTCATGGACTTTGTGTAACACATGGTGCCATAACCTTTTGTTTTCAGTGTGTTACACTGAGTGAAGAAATAAAAGCAGTTCAAAGGCACACCTTGTACAACATGCTTGCCTTAGTCATGAGAGCAAGCTGATGATAAACCGCCCTTGCCAATCTATTCTCCTAGCACCGTAACATTTAATGACTTGCACGGGTTATTTTAATTTTGTTTCATGAATATTTTCTACCCTTGTAAGTTTTACAGTGCAGTCTGCACTGGGGATGTGGAGCTGTGTCAGGCTCCAGATCAAATCCCCAGGTTCAGCTTCTGACCCTTCTGACAGGCACACACACGCCCCAGGCTACAATCTCATGGCTCTCCCAACTGCAGGGGCTGGAATCAAAATGAAATCCTGGATCATTTATGACTGTATTTCAAAAGCAAACCTAGTGCATTTAAAAGTAATAGCAGCTTTCATTTTCGAGACCTTTAAGTGTCTGAAATACTTTAAACAGGCACGGCCTGTTACCCCTGTGAAACACATGGAAAAGCTCCACAAAGCCTGACTGAAGCTTCCCATTGTACACATTGCAGGTTTCGAGAAGAAAACCAAATGATAATTAAAACAAGGAAGCATTTGGTCTTGCATTGTTTTACCCACCAAATCCTTCCTCATGGGGCATTCTGACTGGGCAATAAATCTCTGTAGGTAAATCAGGGTTCTGCTGCCATGAAACAACCAGAAGAGCTGAAGCCAGAAAACTGCTGATGGGAAATGGCCTTTTCTTTTTAAAGACACTGATGAAAATCAAGACTTCGTGTGCAGCACTTGTAATTTAACACTCATTAGTATCTCTGTACCAATGATCAGGTCCCCTACTTCCACCATCCACACACACTAAAAGAAATTCTCGTTATCTGCAACATATTTCCAAAGTATTTGAAAGGACTTTTACAAGACAATGAATGTAAACTCATCTTTGGCCTCAGGATGACAGTCTATTATGGAAAGCAGCAGAAATATTTACATTATCATTATGATATTTTTCCTGTTGCGTAGATGAGATGTCTGCACTTCGGGTCATCAGTTCAATCTGTTCCTACATTTGCTTTGTGTGAGGAAACTGCCTCAGTGTGAAAATAATGCCAAATGTATTCTAATCTCCTGTTCACCAAAAAGAAGAGAGAGTTATATTCATTCTGCATTGTCACCTAGTTGCAGTGATGACAATTTACAAGTGAATTTCCCACTGCTCATTCTAACCACAGACAAGACTCCAGCAGCTCAGAAGCACTGAGCACTCAGAAAACATTTTCCAGCTCCTTTCAGAGCACAGACGAAGGGGAGAGGCAAAAAACATTCACATAATAACTAATTGATTAAAAGGAAGTTTGCAAACAAGGAAAGCAATATCCATATAGCAATGCTGAGTGCAAGTACACCGTGATGTGCTGACATTTGCTGACTAGCTCTAATGGCAAGGCCAAAAAAAACCACATTAACAAAGCAAAAGCAGTAAATCTGACCCTGACAGACTCGGAGCTGCCCAGACTACCAAGGTTATCCAGTTTCCGGAAAAGAAACTGCCTATAAACCATCAGGTCAGATCCCCCAGTAATAATATACCTGTGATATAACCTAATTAATCTCCAGCTGCAAGCTCCACAGCCACTCAATCCTCTGTCAAGCCTGAAAGCAGCCGTGAGTGGCACAGACAAATCCACCCTGCAGAGCCCAGCAGCAGCTCCCTGGCCCTGCCACCACCACAAATCAAACCCCAGAACCAGAAACCAGCACTTCAGCGAGCTACAGAACTTGGACTGCTGCTCCCAGAAGCAAAAAAGCCCAAATTGTGGAGAGTAACCTAAGAAAACAGCGAGCCAATAATGCCCACCCACAACTGTTGTGTTTTGAGACATAACAGCTCAGTGATGTGAAAGCCCTGGTAACCAGAGGCTGAGTCACTGCTTTTCCCCCCATTTAAACTCATCACTCCGAAGACAGAAGTTGAAGGCAGTTAATAAGGACACATTTCAGAGCTGGCAGAGCACACACAGAACCCAGAGCCCACGTGTGCAGCTCTCCAGGTGGTGACTGACCACGGAGCTGCCCCTGCTGGGACTCACTCAAAGCAGCAGCAGGTTCTGCACAAGTTCAGAAAAGCCTCATTTTGCTAAGCACCTCCAGGATGCCCTCAGAAAGAATGAACTCTGATGGGAATTAATGTCTAATTGAGAGCACACACTGAATTTGTCAGTACTCCTTGTTTGATACTAAGAATAAGGGAAATTTTAAGCAGCAGCAGAAACTACTTACAAGGGCTCTGTTGATGCAAAATCAGGGACTGGACTTAGCAAGCTCACAAGGCTGCTGTTGGTGTTAGCATTTTTCAGTTCAGGATTGCTTTGAGCAGCCAATTACAGTATATTGACAGTATTTTTAATGTGCTATCTCCAAGCCATGTGATTTGAAACTAGAATTTACCTGAGAGTGCTTTAAAAACCCCAACATCAGGAAAATGGACACCCAGCAGCATGGTTAAGGCTACCAAATAATTAAATGGCAAATTAATCCCACTATTTTGGAGCCTCCTGATTTCTGCAGCTGAATATCAATGGAAAGATGTCACCCTTCAAGTAGCAAAGGAAAAAACATTGGAAATGCAAGGCAGTAGTTACTCAGCTAACAGAGTAAAACAACTTATTTCCAAAGCAGACTTATGCTTAATCTGCATGTGTGGCATTTCTTCTGGAAATGTATAATCCTTTGCCACAAGCTCCCTTAAATAGCTTTGTAATAAGATGACCTGATCACAGAAGTTGGCAGTAGAACCCTCCTTAGAAGGGAGACGCCACTAAAACCCAGCAGCAATTTTCACAAAAACACCCTTTCTTCCCCAGTCGTGCCTGTTTCCCTTAAGAGGGGAAAGAAGACATCTGCACACTATCATTTCAAATCACCAATTTCACACAGGGGAAAAAGCAGCACTGAAGAGGAAGCCTTCTGGCTTTTCAACATGTTTTCCTTTGTTTTCTACTCTCAAAATAATAAGTTTACAGATATTATATATTTTTTATTATTCTTCTGCACTAATTTAGGCAGAAGAAGATCCTTAGACTCTTCAAATAAAATTGGCGTGTACTTGTATTAAAAAAAAAGGTTAAATATATTATTTACAAGCAGAGCTCAAAAGAAGATCTAGAATGACTTCAGCCTGATAAATGGTGCAAATGTCATCCAGCTATCTGCAGCACAAGCCCCTGACCTAATGCACATCTTTCCCAAGCCAGAAGTGCACCCCAGAGACCACCAAACACTTACTGTAATTATTTACTGTCTTCTGAAAAGACCTGCTGTGATCTATACACAGTAAAACTACAATTATTGGATGTGGATAGAGCCACAAAAACACCCTGTTACAAGCCCGTGCTCTTTTGTCATGGCAACACCGTAACTCAAACTCCTGCAACAATTGAATTGTCAGGATCCTGCTTTAATGGAAATGATAAGGGAGCTCTGAGGCAGCAATCTGGGAGAGCTTTCTTTCTAGAAAGAGAACAAACAGAGAAATAAAGAGGACACACAGAAAATTTATGATCTGGTTGCTTTTCCAAGCACAGCTTCTAATGACACCCATGAGATGAAAGAGGCAGAATCTGACCAGGAGTCGTGGTTTGATGCTCTGGGCTGGCTGGGGATGGGGCTGGAGGCGAGGTTTTACAAGTGACACTGCTCACAGGGCTTCCAGCAGCAAATCCTGGGCAAATCACAGCCATGTGCAACAAACCCCCGGCTGCAATCAACATCTGAGCTCCACAGGAAAAGCAGGCACTGGGAAAATCTGGCACACCCTGCACTTGTGCAGTGCCAGGCAGGAGGCACTGGCTCACCTGGGCCAACACCTGCCTGCAGCACAGCAGTGTCCCTCCCACAGGGAAGGTGAGAACACCTTCACATCCATGTCTAACAAGGGCAGCTTAGTAAAGCACTAACTAAATGGTTCCAGCTGCTCCTACCAGGAATTATCCAAGGAAACTACTTACACAAAACCAGATACACACACTGACACCAAGTCAAGGAAAGAGATGGCAAATAGCAATTTCTAAAAATAAAACACTGCCCTACTATGATTTCATTGTCAATAAAGTTAATATCCCCAAGTCAGGTCTGTTTTGCCTGTGACAGTCACTGGTGATGGATCTCTCCCTGCTCTTATCTCACCCCACAATTATAATTGCATTATATCTTCTCTCCCTGCCCTGCTGAGAAGAGCAGGGACAGAGCAGCGCTGGGGACCTGCCAGGGCCAGCCCAGCACACAACCTCAGCTGTTGTGTGATCCTGCTAAAACTGAATATTGCCTCTTTTTAAGGCTACTCACAGAATTTGCATTGTGTGCTGCAAGTACTTACTCACTATTTTACCCATCTATCAATCAACTTTCAAAATACTCCACTGGATAAGAAAAGAGCATCCCACTGATCCAGCTCTGACAAATCTCACACATTTGTACAAATACACCATGTCAACAACAAGCAACTTACTACAGAGTGGCTGTTCCTGATACTGAGAGAAATGCCATTTTATTAAAACAAATAACTTATCTACAATGTCTCCATTCTGCTGCTTGTGCTAATGCAGCCTACTTTAGAAATAACTATAAATGAATGTGATAAAATATTGGGACACCATGACTAGAAAATTTAAACAGGAAGGTATTGGGAACACCCAGCCATGGACTCAAATTGTCTCAGCTCAGGATCACAGGGCTCTGCTCCCACACTGAAACACCCAGTTTTGGAATAAAATATAGATTCTGATACTACTCAAAAAAGTAAACAAATTCATTTCAGAGACTAATGGATGCTTCCACTATCCTGATATTCTGGTATCAGATTTCAGGATCGCTGTTTCCAGAGCCTGGTTTGTGCAGTCAAGTGACAACTAAGACAGTTCATTAAAAATAAATAGACCAAGCAAATGGTCCATGGCTATAAATTTGGAAGAGGCATTAATTCTCACTGCAAGACTTGAGTTTAGAGCCTAAGAGGTTTTTTTCCACACGTACAAAAGAGCTTTACCATGGCTACTTAGCAGCTAGCCTGAGGTATAGAGGCTTTAACAATGAAACAAATATATTGTTACATGACAGGGTGTTTGTGGGGAAATGAGCTTGTTTCCCCTTTTGTTTTCAAAGATAAATAAGTATCTCATGGACCCCCTAGTATACTTGTTTTTTAGTGAAAAGCAGATGCACTACAATCATTTTATACACCAGCTTTGCACACAAAGGAAACAGGATTCCAGCAGGCACAAATCTTTGCTTACAACCTTTGCAGAAAAATTTCATGACTTGTTTCAGATATAAGAAAGTAATTGCCTTAGAATCAAAACCTAGTTTTACAGCTGTTAAATTGCATGTTTCATTTTCTTATACTTTTTCTGTGCATTTATCACCTGTATTAAAAATATCTGCTCCTTTATGGATAGATATTAGTAAGTATCTGCAACTATTAAAAAAAAGATATTTCATACTTTTATTTCTCAATTCATTAAAAATATTTTTCCTTGATTCAGTTTTCTCATTAAAAGTGCCTGCATTTTGAATTACTGGATAATTATCCCAGATAAAACAGCTCAGAAGCTTTAAAATCTAGGCAGTGAAGGCAATAGAGCAACGAGAAACATTTCCACTAGAGAATCTAATCAAGGCCTCACTCATCATCCAACTTAAACTTAAAACCCTTATCTAAACCAAAGCAAATAAAATCCATGAGTCTCAAAGCCACTCTTTCTAGAAGAAGAAGCTCAAAGCCTTATGAGAAACTCATTTTGTGGGATGCCTCATATTCCATTGAAGGTTTATTTCACTATATATATTCCTGTTTGTAATATCAACCAGATGTGACAATGCAGCCTAACAAGCCCTGTAAAAGATGCAAGGATATCCTGAAGCTCACAATTCAGGAGAGGCTCAGAGAAAAAAGCCAAAGGTACCTGGAGTTGAAGTGAGGGTTGAGGACACAGTTATAATCTGAGAAGCATTCCAAATTCAATTTCAGTAGTCAGCAGAAAGTGGATTTGAGTGGGAATGCACTGTGCAAGACCTGGTGACACACACAGAACCCACCAGGGACAACAGCACTGCTGTCCCAAACCATGAGCACGAGAGCCCCCAGGTTTTCCTGCAGCTTTAAAGCACATCATCAACATGAAACCTGCCCTGCATTCTGATTCCCAGCAGCAGCAGCAGGGCTGAAGAGATTCTGCTGACACCAATCTACACAACCAAAGCTGGTTCCTCCTGTCAAGTCCCAGGTTTCAGCCTGGCTGACAGAACACTGAGAAAAGCCCTCAGCTGCTTTTTCAGCCTTTAACTACTCCTGCAACATTAACAAGTCTTCCCCAAAACCCTCCAGGCACACAAAATTCCTCCATGTTTAAGCAGCTCAGTCACTCCATCTCCACCACGTTTTACTCATGATACTAAACATGCTCAATTTTCACACTTTCATCAAGATACCAAACTTAGAATATCATCTTTCTATTTTGCTTTATCTTAAAAAAAAAGTTGAGCTTGTACCTTCATTAACAAAGCCATGGACTGTTACATTCACTGCATGCCTGCTGGAGAGGGCAGCTTCAGAATCACAGAATTCACCTCTATTTCCTCCATGGACAAGACTAGGAGCTCCTTGTTCCAATGAATAAAACTAAATCTTACAATTTGGACATACTGCACCGAGTTCTTGAACATTTTGCATTGTTTGAACTGTAGCAACTGTATTTAACAGTATTTAACTGTATTTAACTTTATTTATTTAACTGTACACAGTTAAAATACTCGACTTTTGGACTTTCTGCTTTATGAGGATTACAATTATTAAGAAGAAAATAATGGAGTAACGTCTGAGTAACTCAGAGTGAAGAGCTGAAAAATATGGCAGCAGAAGTACTATAGCTGTACCATGGAAAATTAAAACTAAGACCAGCACTATCTACACTTTTTAATGTTCATTTAAATTCACTCCTCGTAAATTCCACAGAATCTACCTCACCCCTGCATCAGCCTCTCTTCCCGATTTTCATTTCACTGCTTTTATGCCCTTTCATCACTTTCTCAGCTCTGCTTTCTTCTGGAGAGGCTGGGTGAGAGCAGCTGCAGGGAGGAATGCAGGCACCACTGCCCCTCCACTCAACATCTGAGAGCAGAGGGGAATGCTGGATCCAGACAAGCCAGAGAGAACAGCTCTGAATCTACCAGCAGTGGGACCAACACAGCACCATGAAACAACAGAGAGCAACCATATATGTGTGTGTGTGTGTGTGTGTGTGTGTGTGTTTTTACAGATTCTAGTAGGAAGTAAATTTTTCATTCTTATCCCACGACAGAAAAACACGCAACCAAACTACACTTGGAACTGTAACAGTTCACTTGAGCTAGGATTTATTTGCTTATAATACACACTCTATTTATATAACACTCGTATCTTCAAAAGAAAAAGCGAGTTTCTTCTGACAAACAGTGCTGAAGTGATCTATCTAATGCACTGCTCAACAGTAAGCAAGACTGAATGAATGTCAGTGAATAAAGACAAATGTTCTGACAGCATCCGTTGGGAGGCATTACAGAACACAGCATTCAAATTAATCATTCCATTCTATGGAACTTTATTACAATCTTTATATTCTAAAAGCAAAATTACTGCCCTCGCTGTTAAGGGCTATAATGTATCATGATTACAGGACCTATTGAAAAACACACTCGGTGGTGCTGAAGAGCCTCAGCTACTTTCACTTCAATTCTTTGGTTCCTGAGGACAGATGCACACAAGTTATCAACACACACAGCATTCCTCTGAAACCACAAATTACCAGAGAGCTCTTCCCATGATATCCAGGTACAATGAGACCACTCACAGAGCAATTTTCAACATGTTAATCTGGAATTTGTTGAGATCCAGGTGAACTCTATAAAAGCTTTTCTCTTGAAATCAGCATCATATCCTCAGACAACCAACCCACCTAAAGCAACTCTTCTAACAAATAAATACAGCTGGCACCTTCCAGAGACCAGAGAAAGGTGTCTGCAACTATGTCCCAGCTCACACTTTATACTCAAGCAGAGTTGCAAGATGCAAAATTTCAAAACCATGCAAAGAACATAAGGAAATGCAACCAAATTGTTCAGCTCAAGCAATCCATTCAGCAAATATATATATCTTAGTGAATTCAAAAGTCATGACAAAAAACAAGTCCAACAAAGATTCCTCCAAGCAGATTTTAAGACTGAAAGATGGCTAAGGCTTATATTTTTTTATTTTCATACATCTGCAGAATTGTGGCAGTGAATTGTACACTTTTTCATGAGCAAGTTTGGACAACACCAGAAGTTCGTTGGAGAATTTCTCCAAATTACCAATATCACTTGTTGCACAGCACTCTTCAGATTGCCTCTTTCAAACATAAACCAAAATTCTCCTTTTTTAAAGTCATCTGATTCCAAAATTAATCTGCACTATCACAATGTGATTCGTATTTCCATGGGAAGAAAAATTTGCTGTACTGTCTAAATGGTTTGTTTGATTGCACATTAATGCATTAAAACAATTATAAAAACTCCACATGAATGGAGAACTTTTTCACCCATCCTGTAACAACTTCACAATTCCACTAACCAAATTACAAGTCTTAGTGTCTGATCTTCCATAAACAAAGTCAAGCATTAAAAGAACAGTTTTACCAAATTTCAAAAAGCCAGTCTGGATCATGAGTTTAACTTTGGCACAATCCAGAAAATTATTTCAAACAGTTTGTGACTACTCCTTTAAAAAGGCAGATGACTCTTTTTTTGATAGTAACTAAGCAGATACCTGCTCATTAATTTTATTCTTGTGCACTTTTTAAAAATGTATCTATTTTAGAAATCATCCAGTTATTGTTCTAACACCACTCTCTTCCTCTTCTCACCAAAAAAAAAAAATAATGCCAAGTTCTCTTGCTGATGAAATGGGCCCTGATGCCATCTAAACATTTTATAGCACAGTTTTTATATTTCAAGGAAAAAAATCGTTTACCTCTCCATAATTCCTCCTCTTTCTGCCTGGCCAGGCAGGAGCCATAACTTTGCTGGTCTATCTGGCAAAGCCTTGACTTACTTGAAAAGATCATTTTCCAAACTAAAGAATCTGTAACTACCTCCATTATTTTAAAACAAGTATAGGCACTCTCCTTTTGTGGACATCTAGCCTGAACCAGATACATGAACCTGACACTTTCCATGGTTTCTGTAGCTCTACAGAGAGAGTTCAAAACAAATCACCTTGACGTCATCCTGGTGAATACACGAGGAACAGAAAAATTTTGTGGTTTCTCTTCCCTCTGGTATTTATGCTCTACCAAATTACAGCTACACACAAGCAAACATAACACATCCCCTAAAAAACCCTCACTAACTGGCAGTTTAATATCACAAAAATTAAACCTCTCACCACAGTCAAAACACAACACGTGAATCTGCACAATAAGGAACATAAAATAGAAACACACCACAGAAAAATAAATCAGATTATACTTACAGCCTAGTTAACTTCTGTGTGTTCTGAAAAAGCAGCTCGGGAAGAACTTGCAATTTATTCTTGTTCAGACGCCTAAACAGTTACAATGAGAATAAAAAAAAAATAGATTAGATTATCTTCCACTTGACGAAGTTTATTCTATTATACATAAACACATGAAGTTCCCATTGCACTAAACCTCATGCTGTGAACTTGCCATTGGATGCTTTGTGCATTTTATTCATACAGGAGCCAGACTGTGTCATTTGTAGAGCACCTGCCCACATCCACAAGGTGGGGAGTCGAGGGACAGGCACCACAAAGTTTTAACAGGGATGAGCACACAAACATAACTTCTAAATTTTCCTGTGGATGCCTACTAAGAATCATACACTCAGCTCACTCTGCTTCAGGAACAGCTACTGGCAGGAATCTAGATTTTCATTCTCCTTCAAAAAATGTAGGCACAGTAAATTCAGTAACTTGACCAACCAAAATTATTCCCAGATTAGCCATTATTCCTGTAGTATACATAATTTCTTTTAGATTTTCTTGAAACTTCACTTGGAAAACCTGAGCACTGTTGTAGAAAATATGAACATATGGGTAACCAGATGACTACATGGTGATTTGAAATAGAATATTAATCCTGAAGATTCTTCCAGGAACATTTTAGAGAACAGATTAGTGTTTATATATTAGTCCCTTTTACTCACTCACTACATGAGTTTTACTCTGGTGACAACTTGCCAGTTTTTAGAAAACAACCATTCCAAGCTATTCCAGCCCTGTAACTATAAAAAGCACGAGCCTCCTCTCCACAAAACGTGTGACAGCTCTGCAAAATCTAAAAGCAGTTCTGCTTGGAAGACACACTCTTGCTCTTCAATTCTTTTTCAATGAAGACAGTCACCTGTTCCCACAGTCCTAATGAATGCTATTTGTATGGGCTGACCTTACAAACAACCCCCCTGCATAAAGGGGAAGCTGAGCTGTTCTGTAAATTCACATACCAGCCTGTCTTTGTGCCCCCTTTGTTCCCAATCCACCTTCCAGGTTAACTTTGATAGCAGATCTATTTTTGCTGAAGTTTTGATCTCCAAAGACACCTGGAACTTTTATAAACCCACTGTACTTAGCACCCCATATCTGCTTTCCAGTTTTCTTGCACGCTGAGTAATTTTACTATCAGAATTGAAGACATTTTGGAACTGAAAGGCCTTCCTGAGATCAAACTAACATTGTGGGGTTTCAAATGGCAGAGTTTTCACATGGCCACCATATGAACATGTCTTGGAAGATAAAGGGGTGATGGAGGAGAGGGGAATTTTAACTTCTCTTTCTGACACCTAGAACGGATCAAAGGCTGTGTCTGCAGGCCCACAGAGCCTGAGCACTGTGCATTACACACACCACATGAGAACCAATATTTCTATCTGCTGAAGTTATTTCCTGTGGCTTTTAACAACTACTCAATGGCATTTTTGAGATAAATGAACAAAACAGCAAATGAACTTCTAAAGAATATGAGAGATACTAGCCTTGCATTTGAGAAAACACACGGGAAGAATTTAAACTGGATTCTCTTACACCCACGTGACATTTCACAATTTTATACCTAAGTAAACAATCTTATTTAATTCAAGGTTGATGGCAATGTGCTACTTAGCCCTCATCAAAGTCATTATTTCAGTTAATCATGTTTATCTTTTAGAATAACAGGATGAAATAGAACAAAAAAAATTACTTATTCAGGGGTTAGCACTCCTCATCCATCCTCCTTCACCAAGGCCACCACTAGTCATTGAGAAACACTGAACAAAATCAACTTATTTATCACCCAAAATGCAAGAGTGCCAGTGAAATGCATCTATTACACAGAGTGTCAAATGTTTATTCCTGTGTCTGATTATCATTTCACATCTCACAATGTACACATAATTACACACTGCCAACCCAAAGTCATCTGACTCATCTCAAAGCAACATCCCAGGAATATATTTGAAGAATATCCTTTTCTCTACTTGCAAGGATTTCATAAATGCTGAGTTCATGCTTATTGTTTAAGCCAAAGAAACTACCCAAAATCAGATTAAGTTTCTAGAACAGGAGGTTTCACACAAACAGGCAGACAAGAAAATATATGTACTAACAAGAAATCACATTTCCAGGTTAGCAAACTTCAACCTGAGAAGTCAAACATTTACAACTTCCAGTGACACAACCCAGAGGGGGGGGAAACCTAACATCAAGATTTTTTCTCTAATTTACTATCAAATTCATCCAGAAGATGGAACATCTTAAATTATTTCCTATTATTTGTATGGGCCAACACTCTCCTACCTGTGGTAGTAAAAGGACCAAGTTTGAAGCTGCCCTTTTTAACTCTGCTAAGCATTTTAACATCTCAACCTGAAGTTCCCTCCATCTTGATTTTCTTTCAAACATTTTATGAAGTGACATCCACACAAGGACCCTTGCAAAGTTCACACTGTGACCTGCTCTTCACTAGGCACTAAACATTTTGTATGGGTCTAAATGTACCTAATATTTTCAGTATGATATTGTTATAAGTGAAATTCTTTTCACGCTGCAGAGGAAAGCAAACTGAATTTGTGTATCAAGGCCAAGAACTCAGTGAAATTCTGCCCTTGCTTTAACTTCTGTAAACTTGATTTTCAAACTCCCCCAGCACTAGTGGTCAGTGCTCCTGCACAGATTCCATCCTCCAGAAGCTTCAGGTGAGCTTTATTTCTGCCACAAACCAGAGCTTGCAGCTCTCTAATGCCAGGTTATGTCACTAATTGATAAAGCAAATTAATGTAGCACCAAACACTTGAAGACAAGTGTCCATCCATGTCTTTTTACAAGCTATGGGACTCTCCAAACCCTCCACCACTTCCTAAGGTTTATTTCAAGTTTAAACTTCCACCAGAAGTAATTTTATTCATAGTTTGATTCTCAGGGGAACTAAGGAAATGAACAGGGGGTTGTTTCTGTGGAGCATCACCTACTGTATTATAACTTGTACTGCAATACCTACTGAAATATAAGACTAGATCACCTCGTAGAAACTTAGACATTCTTGATGTAGGATACATTTAACATGCTCATATTTATTATGTGCCAGAAAGTCACCACTAACCTAGGAAAAAAATCCCAATTACACCTCTTGTTTCTCTTCCTGGGCTTGAGAGAAAGAACATTAAGAAAGTCCTCAATACAGAAGTATCAAAGTACCAGACAGGATGTTTTTAAATTCCAAAAAAAAGAGACAGAGACGTGTTTAAAGATTATTTAATGAAAAGACCAAATGTTCAGAATGGTCATTTATAAGCACTGTTTCCTCTGGTTTGACAAAGAAGTGCCAAGCATGGATGAGATGCAGTGGAAGAGTTCCTAACACATCATTTGACAAGAGCTGAAGTTTATCCCCACCTATCAGTATCAGTTCTAGGCCAGAGAGGGAAACTTCCAGTGCAAGGTGAAGCAAAGGTGAGGAATGCCAGCCCAGGGATGGAGCTGTGGCTCAGGAGAGGTGCAGAGCACAGGCTGGGCACACTCAGGGATCTGCTGGGCTGCAGCCCCTTCCCACATGCCTGCCTAGACCCATTACCATCCCATTACTGCATGAATCTTACTCCTGTCAGCTCTCCAATTTTAATTACAGCAGTACTTTGGATTTTATAACAAAATGGTGAAGCCACATAACAGTGAAATAAAAGTAGTTCATAAACAAAAAAAGTCAGAATCTTGTAAAATGATTTTGTGGACATTGTTCCTGGGACTGTACTTTATTGACAAATATAGATAGTCCTGATTTTAAATTTGTGACTTAAAATAGAAATAACAGCAGGATACACCCGGAAAATGACTTTAAATCCAAGCCAGTTTTGCAGTTGTAAGTGGCTACATCATGGAGGAATGACAGGTCAGCTTTGTGAATCTGAACAGTGGACTACAAGTTTTAAAAAAATATCATTATCAAACTGAATCCCTGGGTCTGCTCCCCCTGGGAATGCCACCTGGGATGCAGCACAAAAAGAAACCCTTGGAACTGGGCTCTGCCCTCAGGCTGGGAACACACCAGCCCTGCAGCCAGGTACACCCAGGGACGGGGAGGGATCTGGGGCACTGAGCCAGGCAAGATCTGGTCCACATTATTTGAGCTGGGACTGCTGGATGGGAATGCAGCTGCTCAGCCTCCAGTGTATTCTGAACTGGATGCTTTACAGCTAATAAGACCTGCAAAGTATTCCGGGAATTCGGAGCACAGGGCAGAATGATGCATAATCATCCAATGCCACGAACAGATCAGCTCCAGCGCTGGATCAGAAGCAGCTCTGGATGTGCACAGCATGGAGCCCAGACTAATAAAGCCTCCTGGAAGCTGAAGAACTGTGCAGAGAGGCTCTCCAGGAGTCATATCAGCTCTGGCAATACCTGCATCGAGTCAAATTTATTAACTCTGATTAGACACATGCTGGCTGTGCAGTCAACAATCCCCACACACTGCAGCTCCCTCCATCTCCCAGACTCCTTTAACCCCTGCCATGCACAGGAAACAGAACTTGGCATATTCTGTTTTGTTAGCCTGCTCCTCAGGTCCCCAAAAGTGACCCAAAAGAGTTGTCCAGGCACCAAGGGCACACAAAGTCCTGGATGTGCAGGCCAAGGGTCTCCAGGAGCTCCAGGGCATGCATGGAGCCCACCCCACCAGGACACTGCTCTCCCACCAGGCTCAGATTCACCCTGATTCTGCTGAAAGATGTTTAGGGAGCTGCAAAGGATAAAAGCTAAAAGCTCATTCTTCTGTCTGCAGGAATTCGGTGCAAAAGTCAAATATTGCTGCTCCTGAAATTATTGTATATCACTGACACATTCTCAACAATTCTTACTAATTCTTCATACTAAATGTTGACTTCTATTCTCATATAAAATGAGTACATAAATGTCTGTACTTCACAGCTTTATCATGTTACAAACTGCATTTTCTTTCTTTATAACTCAAATGGCCTAAAATGCAGACTAATAGAATTTGTGACCTTTCTAAGTCCATACATACCCTGCTGCCCTCTGGTTCATTATGTTTT